GTATATTTTTATGATTCAGTAGCTTTCCTGGATTAAAAGGAAATATATAATTGATTTTATAATAGACCCTTGATCATTCACAAATTTAACATGTTCATAGCCTGCATTCACTTAAAATACTGCTAATGCCCAATTATGAAATGCACATAATGCTAGGCTGGTTCGGATGTTAGAATCAGTCATTTACCTAGTGAATGAGCCTACTCAACGGCCGTGCATCTGTACCTCAATGAGGTTGTATTGTTAATCACTTTGATACTGACAGACTTAACAGAAGAATGGAATAATGGAAGGAGACCACATTCTTGTCTAAGAAGAGTCAATATTTTAAAGATTCTAATGCTCTAAAAAATATAAATCTATAAGTTAAAAGTCACTCCAATATAATTAGAAGAGAATTTTTGAAGACTGGAAGTGGTAACTCAAAACTATACCTGGAAAAATAAATGTGTAAGAAGAGTTTAAAAAAATTCTAGAAAAGAGGATGAATTAGGGGAGGCTGGCATTACCAGATACTACCACATATTATGTAGCTATGGTAATTAAAGAATGAGATGCATATAAATCAAGAGACAGAGTAATGGAATAGAATAAAGAAGACAGAAATAGATCTGTATAAATTTAGTACACAATAAAGGTGGCATTTCAAACTGATAAATTTAAAAAATTAAACATTAAAAATGAAGCCATAAAAATAGTAGAAGAAAGTATGGTATAGTTTTAAAAACAGTTTTGGTGGAGGGAAGGACTTTGAAAACATGGCGCCATAGAGAATAAAACAAGCAAATCTGAATAAATATGATAAAATGTTTCTGCATGATGAAGCATTATAAACAAAGTAAAAAGCAAATAATATGCCTAAGATAAAATATTTGTGACATATGAAAAAGGAAACTTTTTAGTACTGTAGAAAGAACAAATCAATAGAAAAAACAAAAACCCCAAAAGAATACAGGCAGAGATCATAAAGATAGACTTCACAGAAAAGAAATAAAACTATCTTTTAAATATGTGAAAATATGCTCAGCTTCACTCATTTCAAATAAATGCAAATTCAAACTTCAAAGAGATACAAATTTTTACCTTTAGATTGGCATAGTAAGTCTATGACACTCATATTTGATGGGATGGTAAATTGGTATGATTTTTAAAAAGGTAATTTGACAGTTTATATCCAAATTTCAAATGCAGGTATCCTTTTAACCAGCAATCCTACTTCGAAGAATTTATTCCTCATGCACGCTTGTATATATATGTATGCTAAGGTATTCACTGTATCATTATTTGCAATAGCGAAAAATTTGAAACAAACTGTTTATTAGACCATTGTGTAATAAATTATTGTGTATTCCTATAATGTGGTACTATGACAATACCAATAAAACAATAAAGCAGACCTGTCAGGACCGAATGGAAGAATCCCCAAGATACAGTGTTAAAGGGATAAAGGAGGTGCAGAACAGCATGTATGTATAGCATATTGCTATTGTAGGAAAGAGATTATACATACAGAAAAATATATGCAGGTATATGTCTAGAATAGCTTTGGAGGGACACAAGAAAGGAACAGAGAAGAGAACAAATAAGGAAGAAGCAGGGTTTGTTTGTTTTAACCATGTATCTTTTATAGCATGTAATTTTGAAGGGGTGAAAATTAGGAATGGCTGGAATCAAGGGTAGAAAGATTATGAAAAGATTTCAGGGGTGCTCCAGCAAATGCAAAATACACTCACTGAGTGAAAGATGTAACTTAAACAAATTTGAAATGGCTTTCATGTAGTACATTTCATCATCTTCATTTATGAGATAGCTGTGATATGGTGGGAAGCCTCATTTTTCATAGCCATCACAATAAGTAGTGGTGTAAGGGCTAGAGCTGTCTTTTCTTAACCTGCACTGAATCCACTGGGATTAGCATGGTGCTTATGTCAAGGAAATGCAGACCTGAACAGTAGTTAAGGAGGTAAAAACAGACTTTATTAAAGAACTATCATGGGAGAGGGCAACTTCAGTAGAGAACTGTGCTTCATTCTGATACAACAAGGAAAAGTGGCAACTTACAGACAAGTAGCAGAGAAATGAGTCTGTGGATAGAAAATAACATAGTAGGTAAGGGAATTGTTGCTAAACTAATCTAACAGGATTCTTGTTGAAAGCAGGCTAGGGTGATCAGACACCACTTGGGTGATGGTGGAAAATGAGGAATTTGATCAGATAAGTAGGCTGGGAAGTAGTGAGAGACCTCCACACCCCACTGACAATACCCTACTGACAATATTAGATAATTGAGGCGAAAACTCACAAAGATATTCAAGACCTGAACTTAACCTTTGACCAAATAGGCCCAGCAGCCTTCTGCAGAACTCTCTGCCCCAAATCAACAGACTATAATTCTTCTTACCTGCACATGGCACATACTCTAAGATCAACCACATAAAACTATCCTCAGCAAATTAAAAAAATCAGAAATTATACCAACCACACTCTTGAACCACAGTGCAATAAAAATAGAAATCATACTAAGAAGATCTCTCAAAAACATACAATTATAAGGAAATTAAACAACCTGCTCCTGAATATCTTTTGGGTAAACAATGAAATTAATGCAGAAATCACGAAACTAATGACAGCATACCAGAATCTCTGGGACACAGCTTAAAGCAGTGTTGACAGGGAAGCTTAGAGCACTAAATAACCATATCAAAGAGTTAGAAAGATCTCAAATAACCATCTAACATCACACCTATAGGAATTAGAGAAAGAAGATCAAACCAATCGCAAAGCTAGCAGAAGGCAAGAAATAAGCAAAATCAGAGCTGAACTGAGGGAAGCTGAGACACAAAAAAACAAACAAAAGATCAATGAATCCAGGTATTGGTACTTTGAAAGAATAAATAAGATTGACACACCACTAGCTAAACTAATTTAAAAAAAGAGAGAGAAAGAAGATCCAAATAAATACAATCAGAAATGACAAAAGGGTCATTACCACTAACCCATCAGAAATCCACCATGCTCAAGTAGGCCTTGTCCCTGGGATGCAAGTTTGGTTTAACATATGCACATCAATCATTGTGATTCATCACATAAACAGCACTAAAAACAAACAATACATGATTATCTCAATAGATGCAGAAAAGCTGATAAAATTCAATACACCTCCAAGTTAAAAACCCTCAAAAACTAGGCATTGAGGGAACATAACTCAAATAATAAGAATATCTGTAACAAACCCACAGCCAACAGCATACTGAATGGACAAAACCTGGAAGCATTTTCCTTGAGAACTAGAACAAGATAAGGATGTCCATTCTCACCACTCCTATTCAACATATACTGAAAGTCCTGTCCAGAGCAGTCAGGCAAGAGAAAGAAATAAAAGGCATCTAAATAGGAAAATAAGAAGTCAAAATATCTCTGTTTGCAGATGATATGATGCTATACTTAGAAAACACCATAATGTCTGCCCAAGTTTCTAGTCCTGATAAATAACTTTGGTAAAGTTTCAGGATACAAGGCCAATGTACAAATAGCAGTAGCATTTCTATACACCAATAACATTCAAGCTGTGAGCCAAATCAAGAAAGCAATTCCATTCACATTAGTCACAAAAAGAATAAAATATTTAGAAATACAGCTTACCAGGGAGGTAAAAGATCTCCACGATGAGACGTGCAATCCATTGCTCAAAGAAATCAGATATGACACAAACAATTGGAAAAACATTCCATGCTCATGGATAAGAAGAATCAATATTGTTAAAATGGCCATACTGCCTAAAGTAATTTATAGATTCAGTGCTATTCCTACCAAACTACCAGCAACATTTTTCACAGAATTAGAAAAAAAAAAAAATCTAAAATTCACTTGGAACCAAAAAAAGGGCCCAAAGAGCCAAAGCAATCCTAAGTGAAAAGAACAAATATGAAGGCCTCACAGTAGCTGACTTAAAACTTTACTGCAAGGTTACAGTAATTAAAACAGCATGGTACTGGTACAAAACAGACCCATAGACCAATGGAACAGAAGACAGAACACAGAAATAAAGCCACATACCTACAACCATTTGATCTTCAACAAAGTTAACAATAACAAGGAATGGGTAAAGGACTTCCTATTCAGTAAATGGTGCTAGTATAACTGGCTAGTCATATGTAGAAGACTGAAACTGGGCTCTTACCTTTCACAACATACAAAACTCAACTCAAGATGGATTAAAGACTTAAATACAATACCTAAAACTATAAAAACCCTAGAAGAAAACTTAGGAGATGCCACGCTAAACACCAGCCCTGATAAAGACTTCATGATGAAGGCACCAAAAGCAGTTGCAGCAAAAACAAAAATCAACAAATAGGATCTGATTAAACTAAATGCCTTCTGCACAGCAAAAGAAACTTTCAACAAACAACCTACAGAATGGGAGAAAATATTCACAAACTATGCATCTGACAAATGTCTAATAACCCAAATCTATAAGGAACTTAAACAAATCAATAAATATAAAACAACCCCATTAAAAAGTGGGCAAAGGACATGAACAGGCACTTTTCAAAAGAAAACACACATGCAGCCAACAATCACATGAAGAAAATCTCGACATCACTGATCATTACAGAAATGCAAATTAAAACCACAATGAGTCACCACTCATACCAGTCAGAATGGTTATCATTAAAAGTCAGAAAATAATAGATGCTGGCCAGGTTTCAGGGAAAAGGGAATGTTTATACAGTGTTGGTGGGAATGTAAGTTCTGCCACCGTGGAAAGCAGTATAAGCTGTATTCTTAGATATTTCATTCTTTTTGTGGCTATTGTGAATGGAATTGCATTCTTGATTTGGCTCACAGCTTGAACATTACTGGTGTATAGAAATGCTACTTCTTTTTGTACATTAGTTTTGTAGCCTGAAACGTTGGAAAGTAAAATATACCAGAGGCAGAGGATAAAACAGTGGTTACAACGGATGAGGGCTGGGATGGGAGGAGAGAAAATGAAGTATAGGTGAAAGGATACAAAGTAGCAAATATGTAGGATGAAAAAGTCTAGAGATTTAATGTACAACATGAAGACTATTGCATTGCATTTGAAACTTTTGCTGAATGAGTTTACCTGCTCTCACCAAACATGCGCTCAGGTGCACACGCACACACACACACACACACACACACGCGGGTAAGTATGTGAGATTATGGATATGTTAATTTGCTCCAGTAGAGTAGCCATTTTGCTCTTTATATGTATCCTATAACATGATGTTACATACCTAAAATAAATAAAATAGATTTTATAAAACAAGAAAAACAGAAAAACTTTTCCAAGTTCACATAACTAGTAAGCCAAACCTAAGTGACCCCAGATTCTGCACTAAACTATTTTCTTCTGATTGTTCCAATACTGCTTGACACTCTAATAAATATGCATTCAGTGACACTGGATCACACAAACACTAAAGCAACAATAACCAAGTTTTTGCTTGGGATTTCAATAACTAGAAATTGGGCACTGCAACATATTCAGCGAGTAACTTTTTAGATAAAGTTCCATAGTTGATTCTCTTTTCAAACATGACATTTCCTAATTCAGCATCACAGATTTTGTTCAGATATAGTATTTTAAGATTTGCACTGGAAAAGTTGAGCAATACATATCCAGATCAAAGGGGAAAAAAAGCAATTTGTTTATGTAATAAAAATTGAAACAGATTCTAGGCAAATTTTCATGGCCTGGATTTGGAGGTCTAGGATTGTAGCTTTGAAGTACACTTCAAACTTTAATAATAATCCTTGTCTTAGTGTTTGCCTCTGTTGCAGTGGTCAAATGTGTGAACTCCAGAGTTTTAAATGCTGTTGTGCTTCTGCTGTCATGCCTGATGATACAACAATTGATCATCCAACACAAAGAATAAGAAGGCCTGATGCCTGTAGAGATCAAAACAACTACCATCAAAAACACGTTACATGATCATGACCCATCAAATAGTGCTAGATACCTGGATTGATCAAGTCCCCAGAATATAATGGTGCATCCTTCATCGTAGTTTGAAGAATGACCAGAATGAGGGAGGGAGCATTACAATGAAAATTGGTCGTGCTGGCAGCTCTGCTGTGAGGGGGAATGACAAGTGAAAGAGAAACCACACCTGCAAAACAATAATGGCTCCAAAACGAACTGTAAGAAACCAAACCATAACTGCAGACTATTAAAGCTCAAAGTCTTGAACACCAGCTCCATCAGACCTGTAGTTTCTTGAGAAAACCACAAACAAGCTGATCTAACACTAACAAGAAGAACTCTGCAGAGACGCATTATAAAAATAAGTTCACTGACTATTCCAACTACTACTTTCTTTTCAGATTTGGTCCAATTTCTGCCAACACCATCCTGTTACTAACTTCAGCCTCCAAAATTCCCTAAGCACCTCATCCCGAACTCCTTTGTTTTGAGACACCTCAATTCCCCTGGTTTGTATTCTCCCTTGCTGCAAGCAGCAAACTAATAAACCTGACTATAGCTGTGCTCCTGTTAGTGTTTGGCTGGCTGTCTTTAACACCTTTGTTAACAAACAAGAAGAAGCCCTCTCACAGAAAGGGATCTTCTAATCATTATTCCCTATCATGTGTAGAGGGTATAGAGAGGAATATATATATATATATATATAGATATAATTCATACAAAAAAATATATATATATATATATAAAATTCAAGTGCATTTCATACTCCTATATTGACTACTAATAATACCACTCTATGGTTCTGATTTCATTGATGCTATATTGGTGATTATGTGTTTGTGAACATGATCCAAATTAGCATAGGTATACGCTTTTTTATGGAAATGCGAGTTTGACCACATTCAATAATATTATGAGTCTATTGAGTCATACTCTCTGTACTCAACAATGACTAATCCATCATTTTTCAGAAGTAGTTTAAATATTTAGAGATCTATAACTCTGCAGTGCTTTGCGTGAGAAATGTGTACTCTCTGTGCCTTAGCTCACTAGACAGTCATTGATAGAGAATTTCAGTGTCTAGCCCTGTCACTTTGACATCTGCCCTCAGAGCTAAATTTACTTTCAATAATAAAAATGCATGAAATAATTCTTCAAACTTTATGTATTATATCTTTGTCTCTATTTGTTTCTGTCTGTCCATACACATAAACACTGTAATTACACACACACACACACACACACACACACACACACACACACACACACACAGGCTTTTTTTCCCTTGGAAAAGTAACCCCTTTAGTATATTTTTTCTAACTGAAAACACTAGTGAGACGTTGTCTTTTAATTATTTGTGTCCCATAAACAAACAGTTGTGGCCTTCTTAATTCATTTTGACAGGATATTGGAATGCTGGAACTAATAGTGATATTAGTGATTGTAACAGTCATGGTTCTCCAGAAAAACAGAACATAATAGGACACACACACACACACACACACACACACTCACACACACGTACACACCAGCCTATTCAAAGTGAAATGTGAAGACAACAAGACTAATATGGTGACTTACTTCCACTTAATGAATAGTAAATATATTTTCTCTTTCTCACAATTTTCTTAACAACATCTTATTTTCTCTGGCTTATTTTATTGTAAGAATACAGTATAATACATGTAACCTACAAAAATATGAAATAATTACATATTTATGTTATCTACAAGGCTGCTTCCAGTTAACAATAGGCTATTAGTAGTTAAGTTTTGAGGAAGTCAGGAGTTAAACAGATTTTCAACTGTATGGGGAGGCTGGTTCCTCTAACTCTCACATTGTTCAGTGGTCCACCATATATATATGGGGTCTCTTGATTTTAAGGACTTTTTTTTTTTTGAGATGGAGTCTTGCTCTGTCACCCAGACTGGAGTGCAGTGGTGTGATCTCAGCTCACTGCAACCACCACTTCCCAAGTTCAAGCGATTCTCCCGCCTCAGCCTCCCAACGAGCTGGATTACAGGCGTATGCCACCATGCCTAGCTAATTTTTGTAGTTTTAGTAGAGACAGGGTTTAGCCATGTTGACCAGGCTGGTCTCGAACTCCTGACCTCAAGTGATCTGCTCACCTCAGTCTCCCAAAATGCTGGGATTACAGGTGTGAGCCACCATGCCTGGCTCACTTTAAGAAATTTTTTAAAGAATAAGTTCATAGATTGCAAGAGCTGGCAAGTCCTAAATCCGTAGTGCAGATCCCAGGCTGGAAATTCAATCAGGATTTAATGTTGCAACCTTGAGGTAGAGTTTCTTCTGCTTTAGAAAACTTCAACTTCTGTTCTTAAGGCCTTCAACTGATTGGATAAGGCCCACCCACGTTCTCAAGGGTCTACTTTAAAGTTAACTAACTATAGATGTTAGTCGCATATGTAAAATACTTTCACAGCAACACTTGCAGTAGTGTTTGATTAAATAAATGGGTACTATAGCAAGGACAAGTTGACACATAACACTAACTACTGCAGAGTTCATCTAAACAAACTCAATTAATTTTGTACATAGTCACCTAACTAATACATTTATGGAATACTAGACTCAATGCCCAAATATATTCATACTAAACCAAGAGTTCTCACCAATCGTAAACCTTGATGTAGACCACTGTATATGTAGACAGATCATAGTTCGTAAGTATTTGTTGTTCATGGAATTTCTTAATGCTTGTGATTAATGTGAAAAGAGTATCCTGAGATTTTAGGAGCACTTTTTTAAAGGATATATTACAAGGATCAACCAACTTCTATTATCAGGATACACATAGTAAATTTATTGATGCATTTGTAAGTCTTAAGAATGGAATAAAAATATTTGAAACACATACAAATATTGTTGAGCTATTTTATAAATGGGTGACTAACGACCATTAAGTTACTTTGTATTTTACCTCCAACTTGCAATTCTACTTTAAGAACACTGTCTATTAGTTTATATATAAAATAAATTTTGTTTAACTCACATTTACTTACTTCACAAATCAGGTAATGCTAAGATGTGTTATTTATAAGAATTTGCATTTTTCTTTACTCAGAATAATTACAGGCTTCCAGTGAGATTATATCATAAATTAGTTTCTAAATAATGCTAACAGATTCACTGGAAAATATTTTTTTTATAATAGAAAGTTGGATTTCCATTTGGCTCTGTTACAAAATGTGTAGTTTTTAAAATAAAGGATATATTGCTGTGAGATTCTCAATATTAACCTTTTTTAAAAAACAAGCATATCTGTAAATGAACTTGACATTGGATAAAAAGTATATCGTGACATAATCTTTTAGGTCATAGGAGAAGTCCAAACATTTTATTAGTGATTTCATCATTTAGTCAGAAAAGAAGACTTTAGTTTCCTCAAAATTTTTGGTAAAGTATCAGCGATAATTCAAAAAATTACTCAATAATAACAAAACAAAAGGAAAAAGATGCAAATTCCAAGCAAAGAAACAGTGGGCAAAGAATACAAACAGGGAAATTTGAAAGAGGAAATGTGAACTCCTAATAGCATATAAAGCAAGTTTTATTATACTAGGATTAATACTATAAAAAATAAAATTAGATATTTTCAGCATCCTAAATTGTGAAGTAGTACAAGTATTAACTTTAGTGTTGGTGGGATACCTGCTTTCTGTACTACTGGTGGTTATCAACATTTGTAAATTCTTCCAGTAGGTCAATCTGGAAATCTTTATGAAAAAAATCTTGGTAAAAATACATCCTTTTTGTATCAGTCCATTTTCTATTGCTTATAACAGAAGATCTGAAACTGGATAATTTATAAAGAACATGTATGTATTTCTTACAATTCTAAAGACTGAGGTGTTGAAAGTGAGAGGCTTCTTGCTGGTAGGGACTCTACAGAGTTTTCTGAAGTGGTGCAGGATATCACAAAGTGAGGTGGCTAAGTGTGCTAGCTTGCCAACTCAGATCTCTCTTTCCCTTCTTATAAAGCTACCAGTTCCCCTCCCATGATAATACATTCATCCATTAACCCATTAATCCATGAATAGATTAATCCATTAATGTGCCTTCATGACTCAATCACCTGCTGAAGTTCCAAGTCTCAATACTATCACATTGGAGGTTAACTTTCAGCATGAGCTTTTGGAGGAAACTTTTAAACCATATCACTCTTTTTCTCAGTAATGTAATTCCTAGGAATTTATTTTAAGGATATTATTGAATAAGTGGATGAAGTAAGGATATTACTGGATAAGAATGAAGTAAGATATTCATGTTTGTAATAATTATAAATTGATATAAAAAAGCAGAAATTGTTCTGTAAGTTACAGTTTATTCATGGAATGAAATAATCTGCAGCCCTTAAAATGTTGTATATAAATATTTAACAATGAAAAGTCAGGTTATTTAAAAAGTATATATAGCATATATAATATGATTCCAGTTTTTAAAAGTATAAAGATATACATTGAAAAATGTCTGGAAATGCAAAAAACAAAGTCTTAGCAGTCGATTTGGATAGTGGGATGACTATCGTTCTCGTTTTCTTCTTTTGGCTTACTTTCATTTTACATGTCTTTAACAATCACCAGTTTTCGTCTAATGGGAACAGTAATGAATTAGTTACTTTTAATTTAAAAAGAAAAAGATGTGCCCAATTCAAAAAAGATGTTACTAAACAGTAGATGTTTACTTTCAAAACCAGAGATATGCTGCTATGAACTGAATTGTACCCCCAAGCCCTAACAATTCTTGTGTTGAAGCCCCAACCCCCAGTATGACTATATCTGAGGATACGGCTTTTAGAATGTCATTAATGCTAAACTAAGTCATAAAGGTGAAGTCCTAATCTGATTAGATGGTGGCCTGATAGGAAGAGGAGGACAGAGAGATCTTTATCTGCACAGATAAAGAAAGTCCCTGTGAGCACACAGTACAAAGATGGCTGTCCTTAAGCCAGGAAGAGAGACTTTATCAGAATGAGAATATACTGGTACTCTGATCTCAGACTTCCCAGCTTCCAAAACTGTAACAAAATAAACTTTTCTTGTTTAATTCACCCAGTCTATGGTATTTTGTTCTGGCAGCCCTGGGACACATGCTTTTAGTCATTTATAAATTTTACTCTGCCTCCTCCCAAAAAGATTTAAATTGGCTAAAATTGGGCTACCATTAATAAATTCTGTTAAGCCAGGGGAATGAGCTTAGTCTAGACTCTGAAGAGGATGTTCTCTTTGGAAGAGGTGCAAGGCTGGGATGAAGATGATGGTGGAAGCAGTATAAGCAATGGCATGAAGATGGGGCAATGTGAGGTATGGCCAGAGGATAAGATATAGACCAGTGAAAATGACCAGATGGTTGTGTTCTCATTCTCATGAAATACCTTCCAAAATTGTTACCAAACTTTCACAAATTGACAAAGAGAAGCTGTCAGGTACTATCAGGTACTATAATGTCCTTTGATATATTTGCATTTTCAGACCTAGGTCATTCTGCCAACCCAGTGAAGGATGACAGGGAAAAAGAAAAGTTAGAGGCAACACCAATCTCATGTGAATGTTAGCCACTGATTTAAAGAAAAAAGAAAACCCTTTCAATCAGACAATTTTTAAAGATAACTTCAAAATACCCCTTGAAACAGATTAATTCAATGTTTTCTCACTATGTTATGGCATATTGTGTATATGCAACAAATATTTTCTCATAAGTTTCCCCATGCTGCTTTACTATAATCCTATGCTAATTATTATTTTTTTGGTCATCCATTAATTTGGAGGAAATTCTCAGGTGTCTCTTTTTGAAGTCGTCTCTTCATGTACCCAAATTTTTCTGACAGCTTCAGTCTATGTTCTTTGAAACCGATACCCACTTAAATTCTCTACTGTTTCATGACCAGCTTGTTCTATGCTCCTTCCAGGAAACAATGGAATGTCTATTCTAGCATCTACAAAATCCCAGGTACATCTAACATGCAATATAATAACGATGATAATATAAATATTTGTTTGGCTGAATCAGAGGTGATCAGTGAGGCAGAATTCATGAATATCTCAATTTCCAGTTGGATATGCTGTCTCTATCTTGGGTCACTTGGGTCACATGACATGTAGAACTGGTTGAATGTGTAATTAAAAGACTGACATAATAGTTCTAATTAGCAAGAAGTTGTGCAAGAATAAATTAATTTTTTATTTAAAGCTGGAGGAATCATGCTGCCTGACTTCAAACTATACTACAAGGCTACAGTAACCAAAACAGCATAGTACTGGTACCAAAACAATTATATAGATAAATGGAGCAGAACAAAGGCCTCAGAAATAACACCACACATCTACACCCATCTGATCTTTGACAAATCTGACAAAACAAGCAATAGGGAAAGGATTCCTTTTTTAATAAATGGTGTTAAGGAAACTGGCAAGCCATGTGCGGAAAGCTGAAACTGGACCCCTTCCTTACACCTTATACAAAAATTAACTCAAGATGGATTAAAGACTTAAATGTAAGACTTAAAACCATAAATACCCTAGAAGAAAACCTAGTCAATACCATTCAGGACATAGGCACGGGCAAAGACTTCATGACTAAAAAGCAATGGCAACAGAAGCCAGAATTGACAAATGAGATCTAATTAAACTAAAGGGCTGCTGCACAGCAAAAGAAACTATCATCAGAGTGAACAGGCAAGCTACAGAATAGGAGAAAATTTTTGCAATCTATCCATCTGACAAAGGGCTAATATCCAGAATCTACAAAAAACTTTAAAAAATTTACAAGAGAAAAACAAGCAATCCCATCAAAAATGGATGAAGCATAAGAACAGACACTTCTCAAAAGAAGACATTTATGCAGCCAACAAACATATGAAAAAAAAGCTTATCATCACTGGCCATTAGAGAAATGCAAATAAAAAGTACAGTGAGATACTATCTCATAACAGTTAAAATGGTAATCATTAAAAAGTCAGGAAACAACAGATGCTGGAGAGGATGTGAAGAAATAGGAATGCTTTTACACTGTTGGTGGGAGGGTACATTAGTTCAACCATTGTGGAAGACAGTGTCACAATTCCTCAAGGACCTAGAACTAGAAACACCATGTGACCCAGCAATCCCATTCCTGGGTATATGCCCAAAGGACTATAAATCATTCTACTATAAAGACACATGCACATGTATGTTTATCACAGCACTGATCACAATAGCAAAGCCTTGGAAGCAACCCCAATGCCCCCCAATGATAGACTAGATGAAGAAAGTATGACACATATATACCATGGAATACTATGCAGTCATAAAAAAGGAAGAGTTCATGTCCTTTGCAGGGACATGGATGAAACTGGAAATCATCATTCTCAGCAAACTAACACAAGAACAGAAAGCCAAACACCACATGTTCTCACTCATAAGTAGGAGTTGAAGAGTGAGAATACATGGACACAGGGAAGGGAACATCACACACTGCGGCCTATTGGAGGGTGGGGGTTTAGGGATAGCATTAGGAGAAATACCTAATGTAGATTATGGGTTGATAGGTGCAGCAAACCACCATGGCACATGCATACCTATGTATCAGACCTGTAATTTCTGCACTTGTACCCCAGAACTTAAAGTATAATAATTTAAAAAATAAATTAATTTTTTAAATTGTGATAACAAGCTCATTGGCCTCCTATGTATCTTAGATTTGGTGGGATGCTTATAGAGGCCATGTCAATGTGACTAATTGGCTGTGGGACTGACACATTTGGTTAGACTGATTCTATAGGTTGTCTCAACTGCTTATGAGTTCTGGATTCAGATATTATGGGTCCTTGGAACTAAGATGCTACAGTGAGCAGGACTGCTCTCCTATAATCTATATGAGTCATATAACTGAGAATTGTTTTTAATCTTCCATTCCTCTAACCGCATCAACACTGTATCATTTGCAAATCCTCCAATC